CTTTCCCTTTGTTTGTCATATCTATTCACCTCCATAGTGAAGTGAGTTTGCTCAAAATGATTGATGCCTTGTCATCACAGTGCAACTGGGGACTATTGAGTGCTTTTCTGGAGACATCACTGATGCTAATATTCCAAGACTTTCTGGTGTTTCCAATACACTGTGCCAAGGCCTCTGGTAAGTCTGGCCTGGCTGACTCAAGCTCTTGAGCTTCCACATTTGGCCTTGACCCCTGACTAATGTGATTGCCCTCATTCTCTATACCTAGTTTGGCTGCTGAGAGTGCCACTCAGCCCTTCTGAGCATGCCTGCAGCCTCAGGCTGCGGGCACACCTCAACACAGCCTGAGTCTGTTCTGGCAAACCTCACATTCACTGCTGTCTTTGATCCTCCTGGCTCCTGCCCCAGCTTCAGCTTTCCTGGCCCTGCTGTCAGATCTTCCCTGGAACATAGCTCTCTGATTCTCCTGGCTTCTGACCTCAGCTTGTGCCCCAGGCTCTCTCTCTCAGATTTCCCTCTCTGCTCTCCTGGACCCTGATCCCATTTTCTCCACTCCACTGATCCAGACCCTGATGCTCTGGTCACTGGTACTCCCACCTAAATGACCTCCTGCTTGTCCTTCAGGGCCTGTCTGCAGGCCCAGCCACCTATGTTCTGGCTGAACCCTCACCTTGTCCAAGTTTCATACTCATGGAACAGGGTAAGGATGACAACAGCCTGGCAGACAAGAAGTTTGGATTTCATCCTGGATGTCATGTTTATCAAGGACTCAATTTTAGAGACATCCAAAGGCAGCACTGGCACATCTTATCCAGTGTTGAATATCATTGTCTCTGCTTATTTTTTGGGACTGGTAGCTACCTTGGTAGGGGAAACGCTGAACATTCTCCAAGGATTGCCCTCTAATTGCAATGTGTGGAGGATCAGTTGGATGGTTTGGAGTGGGCTGGTATGGGATCCTGAAGATGACAGTGAGTCCAAGCATCACAGAAGCAATTAAGAGTGACCTGGAGCTTTTCAGCTGAGTGAGCATACATGACACAATCATCAGCATGTTGAAGATCAGTAATGGAGATGTTGGTTATCTTGGATTTGGAACACAACGGGTTGATATTAAAGAGATTCCCATCCATGTGATAAATGACAGGAATCATCCACACATGATTCACAAGATAAACCCAGAGATTTCAAACAGGAATGCATAGTGTCAAAAGCATTTTGGCCTGTGGTGCTCTTTCTGAGTTCTCTGTAACAAGAGAATTGCTTTATTTGTTTTCCCATCGTCATTGAATGATCGAAAGTTGAGGGCTTGCATTTCCTGAGTGCCTTGAGTCTAATGAAGTTGACAACCATTGAAGTAAGCAAACTTATTAATGACTGTTGCTATGGGAGACCGGGGGGCAGAAGCTACATCTTTTGAAAAAAATAAGCTGTGGGTTAGAGGCAGTAAATTGGATGGGATTATTTATATTCACCCCTCTTGAGTGAAGGGTGTGCAGCCAACATTGGAGGGCGAATCTATACCATGTGTAGCCTGGCTGGTCTCCTAGGTGATCACAAAGGAGCAGAGACAATAGCTCTTGGCAAGACCAAACCAATTCCAACTCAGGGCTCCCAGGGATGGTGACACAACCCTGCCCCAAAGGAGACACCCTTCCTAGTCAAAGTGCTCTGGAAGGCCCTGGCTGCCTTTTCTAGATCCTTACATTAACCTCTCTTAACACTTACTGCTGTGGTGATGTTGCTGGGTCCTATTTGGACCAGGGACTTCTCAGCCATAGTTAGCAGAAGCAAAGTGATGCCTGGGAAGAGATAATAAAATGACTGAAGTGGGGAGGTCACTGTGGGTGAGCTTCT